GACCAGGAGGGAACTACCTAGGACAAGGTGGGGCAGCCGCCCCCCCTAAGCTGATGCAAAAGGTTTAATCTACTACAGCAATTTATAATTAGTATAAAATTTATTGATGATGTTTGAACTACAAGACCTTTTTTCAATTTCAAGAAAATAATAGAATAAAGAAAGGGAAGATTTCTTTCTTTGTAATCAATTCTTAAGATACTTAATTTTATTTTGGGTATAAAAAAAGACATTACAGCATTTCACATAATTTGTTATAGAATTTAAAGGTTTTTAATTTAATAATTGGATGTGAGATTCGAATTGAAAGTTCATTATTAATATTTGTAATCATATCCAGAAAATTAGCAAATATTTTTTATGAGATTACCATTTAATTACTAAGATTGAAAAAACAAGGGTCAAATTTATTTGAACATTTGTTTTCTTTATTTTTTTCTGATAAAGTATCATAAAAAATTTTAATATATCTTTGTTTGTTACCCTCAAAATATGGCAATTTCATATATTTATTTTAATTGAAGTTTATTTAAATAATATAGGTTTAAAATTTATTTCCATAATAAAATTTTCAATCAAACATATTAACATTTTGATATATTATTTTGTACTTATTGTTTAAGGGTATTTAATCATATGTTATTTGAAAAAATTTAAAATCATTAATTTATATAAACTGCCTCCATATATGTTATAAATAGTACATTTACTCTCAGAGGGAATGGAGGCAGGAGGGGAAAATTTGTGGTCACTTTATTTTCTCTTTAACTTTACATACTGATCCAAAAAGGAAAAGAAAAGGAGGGCAGGAGGAGGGGAGGGGAGGGAGAAAAATTACACACAACTCTATTAATAAAGTACATAAGTAATAGTTAAAAATTAATGTAAATTATATTTATATAAACTTCTTATAACTCTAAATAAATTTTTTAATTACGCCACCCTCAACCAAAGTTTGGCCCCGTCACTAGCTGTGAGAGTAAGGGCTAATTTGCTCCAAGTGCGGAGTTGACCACCTTAAATGCATAAATTAAGTACCGGAGCATAATAGCGACAACGGGAATCCTGTAGGGCTTGAAGTAACTAAGTAAGGGTATTTCATAATAAATAAAGTACCTGCGCATGAAGACAATGACAAATAGAGTGACAAACTTTTCCTAAACAATGGAAGTAACATGCCATAAAACCAATATAAAATTACCACAACGAAGGAATCGTCTGGATGGTACGTAGTTACACTAATAGGTGGAACATGGAGTTAGGACAATGCAGAAGTGGGAGAGGTCAAACAGCTACTAATTCAGTACAGGGTAGGTTCAATCGAGGCCATGACTGGGACATTTGAACGTGATGGAGACGGTTTTCTATTTCGTGGAATGAAGGAAGGGGATATCCTGTTGGAATTTGAAATGCAAAATGGCAGGGGGCAAGAAACAGAGACTACAGTTCTAGAAGGAATGAGCGAGAAAGACTTGCGTCGAAAGGGATGCGAAATAGACTGTGTTTTCAGAAACTGCGTCTAGAAAGTCGTGGTGGTAGAGGAATGAATGTATGATGGGGACAGTTGAAAAGAGGATGATAAAAAGAGAACAAACTAGGGCTGCAGGGGTTCGGAAGGGAAACAACTGTCAACTATGAGTGCATTAAAGGTAACTCACTCCCAACGCCAACTTACACTTACGGAGGAAATGAGATAAAGTAAACATGAAATTTGAACCAAATTAATGGCAAGATGTTGGATGCGAATGTGAATCACATTCTGCACATAATGTACTTGTTACTAACGGAGTATTATGAAGACACAACAACATGGACTGATATAGAGTGAGAGAATTTCATGAATTTGCGCAACAAATGCTATCACAAAAGAATGGAATAGGTTAATGTGGATACAATTAACAAATTCAAAATTAATATTTGATACAGTTTGATATGCAAATGGAGAAATTAAAACAGTTGGAAAATGGAACTTAGTAATAGCGTGTTAGGGAAGTTGTCCTCCAATTAAGTGTCATAGTGTATAAAAGGAAAGGACGGTGTTGAGGGTGCAAGGGAAGTAACATCGAGAGTGAAGGTAGCAACGAATATCATAAACCATTGCTGACCAGAGAAGCAAGTAAAGCAGCGTAGCAAGAGCAGGAGAGGACGCAAGCGGAAGTCTCAAAAGATGTCTGGCACATGGTTCTGTTGGAAAGGGTTAACTGCGATTAAGATACAAGGTTCAAACCATTAGACGAGAGCGGTTGTAATATTTCCGATTTAGCAGTATTGATTTTTGAACAGTCAGAAGAACTTTGTTTATATATTCATGTAAATATAGTTGGATTGTAACATGTGATTTCATTGATGCAGACGCACAACTTAAGCGAGGAGACCAGGCATGAAGGGAAATAAAGTGAGGTGTTGCATGAAAAACCAAGATTACTTCTTTCCATCTTCAATTAATGTCCACGGGATGTAGTAACAGACATTGGAGATGAGTATAGTGGAGATGTCGATGGCAACGAGATGATGGTGTATAGGAAAACATAAAACTGGTGTTTGTGGGGGTTGTTAGGCAGAAGGATAGGGGAGCGATGCTCAGAGTGGATGGGAATACAAATGTAAGAAAATGTGTAGAAATTAGAAAAATTCTGTAAAAACCAATACCAATAAATCTTTAGCATGAGTAAATAAGGTACAGAAAAATAAGGGAGATGGAAGAATGGAATGAGATTCAAAGCTTCAGCGCAACCGGAAGCGAGTTGTTGGTCAAGCAGGACTTCCCAGAACCTACTAACCTACAACTGTAACCGGGCGATGGTCCCAGCAGTGTTGGTGAAAACAACCAGTTGGTATTGACACAGTGTACTAGTGAGTGCAGTGATGGAGATCGTGCCGAGGATGTAGGGGAAATGGGTGTACCTATTGCTAGAATGGTGTTTGAATCCATGCAGACTGCGATAGAGTTCTATAAGGCATATGGAAAGGTTAAGGGATTTGGAGTTTCCATTAGAAATTCAACATTAACAGCAGATGGGACATACCAACATCTGAGACTGGTCTGTACAAGGGAAAGGTATCCAAGGAGTAAGAAACGAAGGAAGGAGGGTTCAATTTTTGCCTCCCAAAAGGCTGGATGCAAAGCCTTTTTGTCTTTAGTTCGATCAGGACAAGAAGATGAGAAATATATGGTAAACATGGTGATGTTAGAACACAGCCATCAGCTCAGCCCCTTAAAAGGCAGGCATTTCAGATGCAATAAGGGGATTTCATTGGGGGTGAGGAAAACACTTGAGATGAATGATAATGCAAGAATAAGGGTGTGTAATAACCACACAAGCATAGTGCAGGAAGTTGGTGGTATTGACAACATGAGATTTAACGAGCAAGACTGTCGAAATTACTTCGATCAGCAAAGACGGTTGCGAATTGCTGAAGGTGATGGGGAGGCCGTCCAAAGGTACTTTGAAGTCATGAAAAGTCAAAGTCCAAACTACTTCAGCAAGATAGAAGTGGATGCGGACCATCGTATAAGCAGCTTGTTTTGGGTTGATAGCCAGACCTTAGCAACATACCAATACTTCAATGATGTTGTTGCATTTGATACAACTTATCTAACCAACAGGTAAAGCTACAAATAAAAAAATTAATTACTACAGTAATTACATTTCATAATTTTTTGGGTTACAAAATGACAAAAGCAGGCTTCTACTTAAATCATTCTCCGATTCAATAAGAGGGTGAATTTTCTTGCTTTTAATCTACTTTGGTTCATTATGCAGGTATGATATGCCATTTGCTCCATTTTGTGGAATGAACCACGATGGCCAAACAATAATGCTTGGTTGTGGGTTGATAGCTAATGAGATTGTTGAATCATTTATGTGGTTGTTTTTTACTTGGCCTGAGTGCATGGGGGGCGTTAAACCAAAGGGGATCATCACGGATCAGTGCAGAGCCATAAGGAAAGCAGTGCAAATGGTGTTTCTAGGAACAAGGCATCGATAGTGTTTGTGGCACATATGTCAAAAATTTCCCCAAAAACTTGCAGCTTTGAGCACATACAGGGAGGTGAAGAAAAGATTCATTCTCCATGTTGCATTGACAGACTATATGATTAATATCAACATGAGGGAGTTGTTGCATCAATTCCCTGCAATCCATAGGAAAAGAAGATAGAGAATGCTTAGGAGAGGGAGCGCTAGAAATAAGCTGGAAGGCAATACTAGAGTCAGTTTCAATCTCCAAGTAACTGAAACAGTTAGCTAGAGCAGAACAGAGACATTCCTTAAGGCCCAAAGTTGAGTAGGTAAACTATTACTAATGCCAACTTGACAAAATCCCACAACCCAGTAACCTTTCAATTATGACAAATAACCCACTAGCTGTAGCATGCAGGAAAATATTCAAACCTTACCAAAACAAATCTTCAAAGAATAACATTATGGAGTAAAAGTCTCGTGCATAATTTATAAGGGGGTAAATGCATAGACTATAACCCTAAACACAATCACTAAATATATTTACAGCTACTACATATAAATAATGGCATTGGGACAACAATTTTCCAAACTACATTTCTACAAAAACGATATCTCCATTTAGTTAGATGACTTACACACGTGATCCTCTGACAAATATAAATGGACAGCATGCAACTTTGAACAAAAATGAAGTTATATCAAATTATATTACAAGCAGAAGCAGAAGGCGATTCATCCCTTCTTAACACAACAAAAAGAAAACTTTTTACACCCAATTGCATTTTCAATTTAAAGGGCCAGCATGGACACATTTTAACTAAGTTGATTGTACCCTACTTGTCCAACATTTCACCAATGTAAGTAGTAACCACTGAATCTTACATCCCAAACCCAAAACACCACAACTAGCTGTCCCAAAACTTAATTGCACTAAACTAGTTCCCCCTTGTACGCCAACTATTTATCACACAAGCCTTTGGGAATGGCTTTGGCCAAACAATCCAAGTGAAATAACATCCCGTATTAAATATACTTATTCATAATAAACCTCTAAACTTCTTATACTCATAAAACTTGTCACTCTTTAATAAGTCAGTTCTTATTCTATGTCCCACATAGAATATACTTTATATCAGGAAAAAATAAGTACAAACATTATCCTTTACATTCTTATTAGACACTACATTTTGAAGGAAACATTTAGGCAAAATCAGACACCAAGTTATATAGTCCAACAAATGTGTTCTATGGTAACAATATGTAGTGTCCAAGAATAAAGAAAAATTCAAAACACTCAAGTTTTAACAAGAATTTATGCCCAACTTATTATTCTCGGCAGAGACAGTCATTTAAACCTTGTTTCTCAATTACAAGGTTGCTTCCTTAACTCCACAGCTTCCTGCAGTTGTTGGACATTGTACGTATACAGTGTTCTTAGCCAATCCTCAAAACAGTGTGAACAAAAAAACATAAGTTCTACGTTTGAAGTAACCATGGGTTATAGCTTAAGAGCCATAACAAAAATTTTAAACTCATTTTTTGCACTGTTTTCCTATTAGTAACACATGCAAATTCATCAACAAACCATAATCAAGATAATATAAATTTCTCCTGCCTCTTTAACTAACAACACAAGCTCTTGCTAATTGCATCATCACTTAATCTCCATTCTACAACAAAGTAGAATATATGTTCAATAAGCTCATGAAATCATAATTAGTTCAATAAAACACAGTTCTTCAATACATAGGACTTTTTTTACTGTCATAACAACAACATCACATAAATCTTTCAATCATCTACCAACAATTCACAATCCTCACTTTTTCCCCCTCTTTGATTCTTACTGCATAACCGCATCAAAATCTCTGCTGTCCTAACCATCAATGATGATTACCCCATAGTTTTATAACTGTTGTTAGTACTCTATTCTTCCCTAACTTATTTGATTTCAATCACAACAAACTACCTAATAATGAAAATTTCATCTAGATAATATATACAGTGCAATGGAAATTACAATTAAATTACGTACCTGTTCTCAACCACCGCAGCCTGCTGCTGCACACCAGTTGTCAAGCATCAACGATTCAACACTGGCCTCACAATGCTTGCCAAAAGCCTAAACATTATTTAACATTCAATAAATATCAACAACGAATTACCGTCTATTTCATAATCAACAATAACTTTTCCATGTCGAAATTAATAGAGAATTTCACACCAATCACTTCAAATTTGTGTCTACACTATGGGTATCAGCAGACAGTATGGAGACACTCCTCACCTAAGAAGCCCAACAATCAATCGTCTCTTATCTACCGGAATTCGCAAACAGATGATGAATCTCCATGGATCTATTGCGACCTTTCTTCCACCTAATACTTTATCTTTAGAAATCAAAGTATCACATCAAAAAAGATGATGGCGAATTACAACAGTTAAGGTTTAGGGATAGTATCTGTTTGGATGCATAAATAGGCCAAAGTCAGAGGATGGCTGCAACCTACAACCATCCATGGAAAATGCAATTTCACGGAGATAATTGTTATTTTATGGGGTGTGCACCCGCGGGTGTCAAACCGGCTACTGCACAAGTCATTTTCCTTTGATTATCTATGTTTTAGATTTTGCTTTTGCTATGCATATAACAAGATATGCACATAGCCATACAAAATATATGCATCAAAATCAACTTCAACTAATTATAAAAGGTTATCAAATAACTTCCTTTTATTTCTTGAGTATAACTTTTTTGTTTTTATATATATCATTTATCTCTTAATTTAAAGTAATATTACTTTAATTAAATAACTTTAATTTAATAAACAAAGCACATCACCGGATCATCAATCCACATTCCCCGATCATTGATCGAGTTAGTGGAACTAGTCAACCCTTAAACGGAGAACTAACTACTAGTGTAGGAACAGTCTAGGAACAATAGGCAAACAATCTATGAAAATAGTGGGTCGCGCTTCAAAACTGTGGCAAGATTCCCAAAAAAGACCATTA